AAAATTTTTATTACTGCTTCAATTTCACTAGTAGTAATCTGTCTATTTAGATGCTCTGATTCTTTCTGATTTAGTTTTGGAAGATTGTATGTTTCTAGGAATTTGTCCATTTTACCCAGGTTCCCCAATTTGTTGGCACATAGGTGTTAATAAAATCTTCTTACAATTCTTTGTATTTTTTTATGTCCATTGTTACTTCTCCTCTTTTATTTCTAATTTTAGTTATTTAGGTCCTCTCTCTCTCTCTCTCTCTTTTTCTTTTTGATGAGTTTGGTTAAAGGTTTGTCAATCTTGTTTATCTTTTCAAAGAACCAGCTGTTCGTGTCATTGGTCTTTAGTATTTTTTTTAGATTATATTTTTATTATTTCTGCTCTGATGTGTATCCTTTCCTTTTTTCTACCCACCGGGGACGATGCTTGTAAAGACATATTCCTTAGCAGCTGTCCCCAGCCAGACGCTCACTGCTTCCCAGGGGGGCCTCTGCTGGGCAGCTGCCCTTAGGTCCACGAAAACCAGGGTCCAGGTTACTGACCAGGGATGCTTGTTGCCCCATGCACGTCCTGGTTCAGACTCTCTGAGACCTTCACTTTGGACATCCTAAGGTGACTGTAGGCGGCAGATTGGGTGCTCATCGTAAATCGTTTGCTTGAACTTCGGCAACAAGATGGAGCCAAGATCCACCACTGGCATCTGACTGGGGAGACGATGGGAGAGGCGAGAGCCTGGAAGGAAGCCCCGGAAACATGGTCCTTGCCCACAGCTGCCCCCCCTGGTGCTTCAGCCCGTCAGCCCTGCACATGGCCTCTCTGCTTCAGCCGTCGGAAGGACTTGTCGATAGCCCAGCAGAATAGCTAGCAATCGTTACACACCGATCGCATGCTGGGTATGCGTCTGCGATCTGTAACCTGCACCAGTCCTGCAGAAAGGTATGCGTGAGGAAAAGTGAGCCCTCAGGCGTTAAATGGCCCCAGCAGTGGTCATGGAACTTGTGCTCGGTCAGAATCACCTCGAGGGTTGTGGGAACACAGGTTGCTGAGGGCCATGTCAATGCTTCTGATGCAGTTGACCTGAGGCGGGGCCCCTGACGTGCATTTGTTAAAAGGTTCCAGGTGGTGCGGGTGCCATGGCCTCGAAGAACACACGCTGAGAACCACTGGTGCACCCCCAACAGCTACAGGGTCCACCCCACATCGGTCTGACTCCAGACCTGTGTCGTTTATCTGCTATGAACTGTCCCACAGTGTGTCCACATGGACCATGTTATTAAATACCGGCGCCCTCCAGGCAGCCCCTGGTCCCCCTGCCGCACCCTCCCCTGGGTTCTCCCTGCAGCCATCCTCGTGACCAGCCTCATGGCTGCTCTCTAGGAAGTCTTTCTTCTGCTCAGAAGGGGCTGACAGTCTTCCTCTGTGTTTCCGGGGTCCCCCGAGGACTCCACTCTCGTCTCTGCCTTGTCGTCTGCTCATGTCTCTGCCCGTTTGCCCATCCCTCGCTGTGAACCCCCCGTTTGCCCACCTTTTGGCCCCTGCTTTATGTCCACTGAGCTACCCGGTGGATACTCTGTAACCGTGGGGAACACAGCCGGTTGGATGACTTCACCCTGTGCCTGAGGCTTATGGAAACTTCCCTTGGGGGGGAGAGGGGTGCTTTCGAGCAGTTGTTACTGAAGAGACTGAGTTAAAGGTGCTGCCCAGGCAGCTTTCTCCAGGCTGGGCATCCCTCGCCTCTGTGGGCGCGTCCTGGCCGGTGAGAACATCTGCTGTCTGTCCGTGCTGGCTTAGAGCCTGGGCGGTTGGCTGCCCTGTTCTTACTCCCCCAGCGGTGTCTCTTCCAAAACGCACTCAGACAAGAGGAATGCCCCAGGGAGAACCCGTCCCGTCCTGCAGAGAGCTTCTGTGGGTACGTTCACTCTGGAATCCGTGGAGTGCCCACTGTGTGCTGGGCACATGCGTGAGTGTGGAAGTGTCCCCTGAACGGGAGATCCCTCTACACAGACTGAAGGGGTTAGAGGGAGGGCGGCGTCCGCGGGCTGAGCCTCGGGCTGGCGGACAGACGGCGGAGGTGGTGTCTCTGGGGGGACACCGAGTGCGGACAGAAGTGGACGTGGGGCTACCTCTCTGTCATCTCGAGACGCCCCCTGGGCATGTGGGCAGGGGTGCACCGGGGGACGGAATGTCCAGAGGAAAGAGGAACCCTTCTTTCAGCCGTGGGGTAAAGCCCGATGCTGAGCTCCTTGGGAGTCCGCGTCTAATCCACGCCCGTGGAATCCGCGGGCGTTCAGAGCGGCTCGGAGTTTAGGCCCCACGGTGCCATTCGTCATGGTTTCCCGTTCATCAGCCTCGTGCTGTGTGTATGACCAGACAAAACCTTAAAACTGTGAGGAAAGGGTCCCGCTCCTCCACAGGCTCGTCCTCGGAGCTAGAGCCTTCGGGGCCTTCAAGTGAAGGCACATCTCGCTTCAACTAGGTGTAAATATGAGAGTGATTAGGACGGCTTCTTCATCGAAGTTGTCACTTGGTGTTTCCTTTCATCCGTGACGCATCGAAACGGATGCTGAGCTCGGTTCCCTGGCAAGTGGCGGCCTGGAGAACCACTGTGGAGCGTGTCCGCAGCAGAGGAAGGCTCTGGGCACATGGGCACAGCTGGCACTGAGCGAGCAGACACGGCTGGCACTGGGCACTGTGGGCACGGCTGGCACTGGGCATGTGGGCACAGCTGGCACTGGGCACTGCGGGCATGGCTGGCTCCGGGCACTGTGGGCACGGCTGGCTCTGGGCACTGTGGGTATGGCTGGCACTGGGTGCTGTGGGCATGGCTGCTGGGCTACTCCAGCTTTGCCCCCAGACCCGTAGAGCCCGCTGAAACTCACAGGCAGAATCACGGTGCAGAGTAAGTGCTGCGTGTTGGCACGGGTTTGCAGTGGGCACCATCACTCTGAGGGCTGAGTACACGCAACCTCCCATAACGTCCGCGGTAGCCTCTGCCACAGGCTCTTCTGACCTTATTTTTAAAAGATCTGGCCCAGCCGGTGTGGCTCCGTGGTTGAACATTGACCCTGCACCAAGAGGTCATCAGTTCGATTCCCAGTCAGGGCACATGCCCAGGTTGTGGGCTCATCCCCAGTGGGGGGCACACAGGAGGCGGCCAATCAACGTTCTCTCTCATTGATGTTTCTCTCTCTCTCCCTCTCACTTCTTCTCTCTCTAAAATCAATAAAGAAGGAAAAATTTTTTAAAGATCTGAACACTGGCAGAGACTGCGGCAGAGTCCAGGAACCTGCCCGGCCCTCCGTGTTGGTGATGGTGGAGCGGCAGCAGGACAGCTGCTTGACCTCACGCTGGGGTGCTGCCCTCTGCGAGGGTGAGGCCACACTGTCCCAGAAGCAGGCCAAGTGCAGACACCCCGGGCGGCGAGAGAGCCACGGCCTCCCCTGGAGGGGCAGCGGGACCTTCGGGTCTGCAGAGGCCTGTGGGTGCGGGGTGAGGTGAAGGATCCCAGGCAGAGGGCACTGTGGCCTGTCCCCCGGACACTGGCTCTGGCTCTGTGTGGAGAGCGGGCAGCCACCAGCGATGAGCCCCGGAGTGGGGGCTCGGAGGTCAGGCCGAGGAGGCTGTGTCCTTGGAACTACTGCCAGGTGAGGTGAGGGGATGACATTCTGGCTGACAAAGAGGAGACGCATTCCGAAGAGAGTAAGTGCAGTGACCGGAGTGACAGCTGGACCAGGAGCCTGGTCACCTCCGAGGTGGTGTCCGTGCAGTTCTGTGCTGCGCGTGACGTCATCTCCACGCACCCAGCAGGTGCGCTCCCCTCGGGGCAGCCGAAGACGTCGTGCCGTTGGGCCTTCCTGGGCCTTCCTGGGCCTTCCTGGCCTTTTACCCCCAGGGCTTCCCCTCTGCCCCAGCTCTCAGGCTGTTTCTGGGCCTTCCCGGGACCCCTCCTTCGCTGTGTGCCTGGCCTGTGCTACCGGCTTCGCTTCCGTGTGCCACACACCCGAGGCCCTCGGGAGGGTCTGGTTTCAGCCTCCCCATCCTTGCAATAATTAACACTGAGAAATCAAGCGCTCTCGTATGAAAACCCAGATGTAGTTCTAATGGACAGACGGATTGGGTGGGCAGAACAGCTGCAGGCAGAGTGCACGCCTCTGAATCGGCGGGATTCCTGCCCGAGCGTGTGTCGGCCCCATGCCAGCCCTCGGGCTAGAGGCCGGCGCTGTCATCAAGGCGTCGACACGCTCCCTTCCCTGTGCTGTGGGCGTTTGGGTCGAGGTGCTCAGCCGCTCGTTTGCTCTGTGATTATCTGTGTTCCTGTGGGCAGGGATCATGTCTCACTCATCTTTTTGTCCCTGCAGCTCAGCACAGGGCCTGGTTTTAGGTGGTTGGAACTTACTGAATTCATGTGCACTGAAGTCATGTACACTGAAGTCAGGTGTGCTGAATTCATGTACACTGAATTCATGTGCACTGGATTCACGTACACTGAAGTCATGTACACTGAAGTCAGGTGTGCTGATTCATGTACACTGAATTCATGTGCACTGGATTCATGTACACTGAATCATGTATGCTGAAGTCATGTACACTGAAGTCATGTGCACTGAATTCACTTACACTGAAGTCATGTGTACTGAATTCATGTGCACTGAATTTATGTGTGCTGAGGTCATGTGCGCTGAAGTCATTTACAGTGAATTCATGTACACCAAAGTCGTGCACTGAAGTCACGTGCACTGAGGTCACGTACACTGAAGTCACGTGCACTGAAGTCATGTGCACTGAAGTCATGTGCGCTGAAGTCATATACACTGAAGTCATGTGCACCAAGGACACACAGCTTTGACAGGCGGCCTTGGCAGTCACGGTCTGACCGAGTGGTTGTGCTGCTGGGTCTTGGGAGTAAGGAACTGGGTCCTGGGCCAGGATGGGCTCGGACCTCAGGAGGGCCATGCAGCTCATGCAGCGGGCAGCCTGGACTCATGGTTCATAACCCTTTTGCATTGCAGGACATTCCAGGACCTGTCCCAGCAAGTGGAGCTGTCGTACGGCACCGTCCGGGACTCGGCCGTGTACGAGTACTTCCGGGCCAAGGGCACCAACCCCCTGGAGCAGGACAGCACGTTCGCCGAGCTCTGGCGGACCATCAGCAAGAACGGCGGGGCTGACAACTGCGTGGCCAGTGCCTCAGAAGGCATCAGGAAGGTAGGCAGGCGCCGGTCGCCTGGGAGTGGGCGGCTGTGCCCGGTGCCCTGGCACAGTCCTCCCTGAGGTGGGCACCGGCCGCAGGCTGTCGGGCGTCTCTCCCAGGCATGTGCTGCCAGGTGGGGTGCACGTGTTTTCTGGGAGACACGCATTCTCGGCAATCAAAGCAGAGGGGCCGCTCGTGTGGTGCCAGATGGACCGTGTCCAGGGGCTCGGTGACAAGCAGGCAGACGAACCCTGAGACAGGGCCCTCCCTCCTCTGGCACACAGCTGGTCGCCCAGGGCCTGCCTGCCCTACACGAGAACAGTCAACAGGAGAAAAAGCAGAGAGCCAGGTCAGAGGCGGAGGGCGGGAGGGAGCGGAGGTCAGGAGGGTGGTCGGCTGGCAGGCCGTGGGTCTGTGCAGAGGGGAAGAGGGTCCTGGGGACAGTGGTAAGGGCAGAGCCCCGGAAGGAGGCTGCGTCTGGGGACACTGAGGGAGGATGTGGTGGAAGAAGCCCGAGAGAAGGCGGGTGGAGGAGTCTGCATTCCTCAGCAGTGGGTCAGAAGGTGCTCATTCATCTCAGTAACTTTCCACTGTGAGCTGAACGCATCATCATTACCCCTTTGTACAGAAGAGCGTCAGACCCGGCCGCGCTCCCGGGGAGTCTAACGCCAGGGCATTCGGGCCGAGAGGTGGCATTCGGGCCGAGAGGTGGCATTCACCTCCACGCGCGTGGAGCTCGGCGGGGAAGATGATGGCCGGGCAGGCAGGTCTCACGAGCTGGCAGTGGGCGCTTTCTCTGTGCAGTGCCCTCAGCCCAGAGGCTCCCGTCCCTGTGGTCACCGGACAACGGTGGGGAAGGCTGTGTGCCTGCATCCAGCCCTACTGCCCTCTGGGCCGACCGCTGTCCAGGGTCCTCAGCGTCTCCTCCCTCCACCGCCCACCACTCTGCGGCACCTTCCACACACGCATGTGCGTTCTCTCTCGCACGGACTCCCTCACACACTCACACACCCTCACGCACAGCCCTGTCCAGCGTCTCCTCCTTCCTCCTGCTGCAGTTCTGTCTCTGTGCACCCAGCTCACAGGTTCTCACAGCCCCGCACACCTGTGTCCACATCCCCAGTGACTCGGTGATCGGTTGGCCTTCCTGCAGAGCACAGTGGATAAGGGGACGGTCGGTAAAGTGTCAGGGCCACCAGGACCCACCCCCTGCTCTTCATGATGACAAGGGTCCTCCAAACTCTTCCGCCTCCCCCTCCCCCCCCAGGAGAGCCCACAGGGGCCCAGGGAGAGGCAGAGGCCTGGGTCCTGCTTCGGAGCAGAGGTGCGTCCGGGCTGAGTGTGGCCCCTGCTGGGGTCACTGGCTGCTGTGACCTTGCGGAGCGAGAGCTTCAAGGACGTGCGTTCTCACGCTGCGGTCGGCCCGGGGGGCCACAGACCAGCAGGGTGCCGGGTTCGAGAGCCTGACACGCATGTGAGCATCCCGCGCCGCCGCTGGCCAGCTCGGTGCCCCTCCCGTCGGGGCCAGGAGTCCAGCGCGGCCTTGCAGGGGTCTCTCCAGACGCAGAGAACATGAAATGTCCACGTCACGGCAGATTTGGAACGTTTTCGCTGAAACAAGTGACACTCTAACAAAAGCAGTGAGATGCACTCTGACTTCGCTGTCCCGTGCTCACGGGATTTATTAGAACCTCTTCTTATCGGTCCCCACACGGGCTGGTGCTCCGACCTGGGCGGCTGGTCTTCGTCCAACCCCGACAGGGAGTCTTGGTGGCTGTAGGCGACCTCGTTTGGAGGTCACGGATGCAAAGTTGATTTCAGGCTTTTCGTTGACGTGAGGCCCGGGCCCAGCGGCCCTGGGGCGTCCTTCTCGTGCCTCTGTCTCCCGTGGGGAACCACACTCCGTCCACAGAGGGAACTCACGAAGCTCCACCGCCACCGCGCTCAGAAAGCACTCGTCAGAGAAGAAAAGAGCTGCTTTCGGCTTTATTAAACGTCTGTTCATGAGAAGACACTTTAAAAAATAAGAAAGCAGGATTCGCCGCAGCAGGGGATGTTTCCAAAGCGTTTAACCGATACAGGATTCATATCACCATTAGGTGCACTTTTACCGATCAATAAGAACAGTTCACACAGTCTGATGGGGAAATGGGAAAAAGACCGGCAGAGGCAACACATATGGCCGGTCATTACGTGCAGAGATGTTGGAAATCATCAGTGATCCAGGAAACGCAAATGGAGACCGTAACGATACATCATGTCGCCGCAATTAGACGGCAGCGACGTAAGAGGTGTGCAGAGGACCGGTAGCAGGTGGTTAATTGCTGCGGGGGTGTGGGGGTGCACTCCGTACCTCCACTTCCAAAGCCGCTTCGTCATTCTTTCCCAGAGCGGGAGCTTTGCACACCCCATGACCCACCAGTCCCACTCCCGTTCACCCCCAGAATAAACTTCCACGTGATTCTCGAGACACGGCCACGGGGCTGCCAGGGGCCGAGCCTGGAGACAACCCCAGGGAGCATCGACAAGCTGCACAGTATAACCTGCAGGCATGACCGCACTAGCCTCATGGAATAGTGTGCAGGAATCTGAGCACAGCGACACCCAGTAAATGCGGTTCCATGTGTCTGCTTCTAGAAAACAACTTGCAACATAATATCCTTCCCAGTAGCGACATGTGACTCCCGGTCCCTCCCCTGAGGGAGAGCCCTGCTCAGGATGGGGGTGGCGGCGGCTGAGAGCCCAGGAGGAGAGAAGCCTGTTGGTGGGTGTACATCAGCTTCAGTGTTAGCTTTAGAGTCAAGGTGGTTTTCATTTTCTTAAATTTATATTTTCTTTATTGATTTTAGAGAGAGAGGAAGGGAGAGGGAGAGAGAGACGAAAACATCAATGAGAGAGAACATCGACTGGCCGCCCCCTGCACACCCCCCACTGGGGATGGGCCCACAACCTGGGCATGTGCCCCGACCGGGAATCGAACCCGTGACCTCTTGGTGCAGGGTCGACACTCAGCCGCTGAGCCACACCGGCCGGGCTGGAGATGGTTTCTAAGTTTTTATTTCTCATCATAATACATAAGGAATGAGGTAGACAAGATGGCCATTCCTTGGCAAAGGGACAGGCTGGAACCTAGGGTGTGATCGGTGGGAGGTGATCACTGTTCCTTCGAATGGGAACCTGCGAAAGGGACCGTGTCGTGGGTGCCCACCCCTGCGACCCGCTCCTTCCAGCCAGCGTCCACTCAGACAGGAGGGGCCGCCCTTTCTGGGCACAGCTGAAGAGAGCAGGACGGGATTTGGAAAGAGAGGGAGGTTTTATTTATTACTTATGAGCCTGCAACATTCAGGTTTTGTAATAAACCTCCCTGTACCCAGTAAATCTCAATAAATGCTGGATTGTCCCCAAGTGAGTTATCTGTTTGCTGTCTGACTGAGCAGAGACATATAAATTGGGGAGGTAGTCGGTGCCATCAATTAGCGGGTTACCCTCCATCGCGTCCGGTCTGGAAGGGACGAGGGAAAAAACTCTCAGGTCCCCTGTCTCTGGACACCCTTCTCTTAGGGAAGAGACCCCTCTGGTCCTTGGAGAGAAGGGACAGGCTGCTGCATTCCCTGCAGCGCCTGCATCGGTCAGACCGAGGGCTGGCAGACCACCATCCTGGGGCCAGGTCCAGCCCCCACCTGTCTTTGTCAATAAAGTTTTATTGGAACACAACCAAACCCATTCATTCACAGACTGCCTATGAACGTTTTCCTGCTGCCTCAGCAGACTTGAACAGGTGTGACAGAGGTCATACAGCCACCGAGCCCAAGATGTTTATGTTCTGGTCCTTCACAGGGAACGTGAGCAGGGGGGAGCCCAGGACACTGGCCCCCGGTCAGTGTCATCTAACAGCACACGGCACAGGCAGCCTGACGTCTATCTCGTGCCGTCTGGTAGCACACGGGCTCTGCTTGCAGACGGGCCCTTCTGGGCCTGTTCAGGTCCAACTCTGGTGGCCCAGACGCTGCTCCTCCCTGCGCGGACACCTGCTTCCCTCCTGGCCTGGCCTGGCCTCCCCCCAGATCGGAGCAGTCTCTGTCCACCAGATGCTGTGCCAGACCACGAGTAGACATCATTTCTTTCCTCCTGAAGAGAACTTGCTTAGGGCCATCTCCACCGTGGAGAACAGGGCCTGAGCCTCGGACCGAGTGTCGTGCTGCAGGTCATGGATGTGGGTGAGCCCGGGCACGGCCGGCGGAGCCTCGCCCACCTGCCCCTTCCCAGGGCACAGGCCCACACCTCTGCCCCGGGGAGCCCGCACCCCACGCACACGCCTTCCTGAGGCCTTCATTCCCTCCCCTCTTCGACCTCAAACAGCAAGACGGATGCCTGGCCCCCGTCTTTAGACGCCCCAGCTCCCCTTCCACGTGTCACCGCGAAGGTTATTTAAGTCTGTGATTTCCCTTCCTGATTTCCAAATATTAAACATATCAATTAGAGAACATTTGAGATGCAGGATTAAGCTGACAAGAGGTTCTGATGCATATGGTAATAAGCTTGTTACGCGACATCAGACTTGGATGTTGTTGACGAAATTTTTTTAGCTGATCAGCGCTATCAGTTAACATCAGTGTACCCCGATCTCTGGGCGGCGCCCGGCCGGCCTGGCCTGCCTGTCGAGGTGCTGAGCCTCTCTGCGAATCCGATCTAATGTTTAATAACACTGTCAAACAGGATACAGTGTGCATAGTCTAAATGTCAATCTCCACAGCTCAGGGAGCCCTTTGGATAAATAGACAGGTGGTTTCAGACCCTGAAGCTGGAGCTACTACTTTTCCGAGGGAGGTGGTTTTTGAGTCCAGCAGTCGTAACAGACGTGTTTTTCCCACTCAGTAAATATCGCTGAGGTCACGCCTTGCAAATGTGAACCCAGGAAGGGAGTGGGCCCCCACGTCTCATTCACTCCCACACGCTCGCTGCTCCGGGTCGAGGGCCGGTCCGCTGCCCGCACCCCTGCCGCGTGGCCGTCCCC